CAATTCTTGCACCCGTGCCAGGCTGGTGACCATGTCACAAAATGCCCTGAGTACACCGCAGCCAGCCACTGCTTGCCTCGTGTCCACAGATCCCCAAAAACCCCCCTAAGAGAGGCTACAGCACCAGCCTCTGAAAGTTCTCTAGGCCACTGCAGGTCCTTTGCTGATATAAAAGGCCTCTGCAGCCTGAAGGGTAGGGCTGGTCACCCAGGAGCCAACAATGCCCCCGGTGATGCAGCATTTGCTGGGCGGGATGGAGACTCGGGGCTTCACCAAAGTTGGTGTGCACGTGCAGATTTTACCAGACCAATGTGTCAGACTTGGGAGGGTTCAACACAGGAAAGATGCTGTCCTCCTGCAGGCTACATTTGAGCTGCCTCCATACAGGGACAATGGCGGCTTTCCCTCCAACTGTCTCAAAGCCACACAACTCAGTCTTTCCCGTATGTCTCTGGTGCCTCTCGAGTTGCCCTCCCTGCAATGGAGCCCAGGTGAGTGTTTCTAAGTGAGTGAGTCTGGGCCCTGTAAGAGGAAGTCTGTATTTCCAGCTGCCTTCCATCTCACTGGGACGAATGGACAGAGTCCTCGCTGATTTTCACTGCCAGATGTTGTGGGGACTCCTCTTTCCAGCACAGAACCCTGGGCTGGGGAACTTTATGTGGGGCTGGGTCCCCTCCCTCTTCAGAGGGGACCTCCACCACCAAGGTGTCCCTCCCAGTGCTCAACCACTACCTGTGGGCTTGGGGTCAGCCTGTTTTGCGTCTCTGTCCCTCCTACCAGTCTCAATGTGGCCTCTTCTTTATATCCTTAGTTGTAGAGGTTCTGTTCAGCTAGTCTTCAGATGATTCTTGAGGCTGATTGTTCTATAATTTAGTTGTAATTTTAATGTGATCCTGGGAGGCAGCAGGCACAACACTTACCTATTCTGCCATCTTGGACTCCCAATTTGTACTTCTTTACTCCCACTTTATTTTCCTTAATGTTAGCATGGTATATTTTTCTCCATCAATTTACTTTTAATCTATGTGTGTCTCTATGTTTAAAGTGGGTTTCTTGCAGACAGCATATATTTGGTTCACAATTTTTGGTCCACTTTGGCAATCTGTTTTTTATTGGTGCATTTGGACCATTGACATGGGTTTATGTTTTTGATGAAGCTCTGGTAGATCTCAATGGCAAACAGTCCTGCTTGGATATATTTACATAATAGGTGAGATAAGGCAAATAATGCACTGAGTACAGTGTCTAGGACATAATAAGTGCTCAAACATTAGACATCATTGTTAGGATTGACTTTTACTTGTCAGCTTCAAATTTTACGGTTTGCATGTCCTTCCTGGTGTCTCAGTGTGACCAAAGAGATTGCTATTTATTTACCCATCTTGTTCCATTCATATATTATCACTTCTAAATTCTGTTTCAAGTCACATCACATCATCAAAGTAAGCTTTCATTTAGCTGACAACCTATCACAGGGCATCTTTCCACATAAAATGAACAAATTTATAGTCATTGCCAACAGCTGTTTTTTGAAGAAAAGGCTGTTTTCCTTAGTTTATTGTGAAGAACAGTGATTAATTCAGCTCATCAGCCTGTAGCAGCAAATGTTAAAAAGGCCCTCATTGTGTGAAGCCCCTTGGTCTCTTAAAAGCTACATTTCTGAATTTGTCAGAATTTCCTGAGCCTAGACTAGATGTCCAGAGGCCACTTAATCCACTCTCCTGCCTCCTATGCTATTTTTAAAGACTTTTAAATAAAAATAGGGCTTGTTTTTCCTTGGTAATGGGCCACCAGGGGAGGTGTATTTTGGCAGCATCTATGTTTCAGAATTCTATGAGCATTAGAAGGGGGCCTTGCCTCAAATAGTGACTTGCCAGTGCCTAAAAGGGGACAAAGTCTGATGCTGCAATTATAGGACATGTTTAAAGAGCATATGGTAGGACTGGTTTCCTTTTTCCTTCCTTGCATCTACTGGTGAGAGAAGGTGTGTGGTAAGATGGAGTTGAGACACAAATTTTCTTAGTACAATACCCAAAGGAGTTTTGCTACAAGAGGCATCAGTGTAGCAGAAAAACATTCTGTGCTTCTCTTCCTGATGCTCTACTATGAGGAGAGCATTTAAGGGCTATATTCAACATAACCTCCAGGATCTTGCTGTGGACTCCGAGGTGGAGTCAGGACCCATTAGGAGAACTAAGGGGAGGAAAGACCTAGAAGAATATAGAGGAAGGGAGAATTAAGAGCAAGAGCAGAGAGCGAAGGGACACCCAATCACTAATCCCTGTGGAATGGATGTCAATGGGATGGGATGAGACAAATGTTGAACTGTGTCCTGCACTCTGGTCAGCTGACACTAAGGGCATTTTCTTTCTATTGTAGTAACAGGCAGACCTGCTCACTGGATCAGAAACTGCAGACATTGCTAAGTGGCTTCCAGGACTTTCCTCTTCTATTTATAGGTTAAACTTAGACTGAAGCAACTGAGCCAGTCGGCAGAGCAGGAACCACAAAAAAGGGAGAGACTGGACTTGTCTGAGGGAGACTTTGTGGCCTTTCTCAAGTATGCCTGTAGACTTTTGAGCAACTGGTCACTGAAGCCTGGCTCCTGCTAGCCATGGAGTCAGGCACTGGGCCCCAGTGTTGAGAAAGTTCTTGCTTCAATTTATTGTGCCGTTAAGGAGGGAAAGGGAAGACACAGACAATTGATCTCCTCCATTTTGACCCAGATAAGAATTCAGAAAGTGAACTTGTTTCCTGTCACTCATTTTCCAGCAATTTGTTCTAGTCTGAGTTGTGCCTAATCTTTTTGTTATGCTTTTTTGTCTGTCTTATGCTTACATATCTTAATTTTTTTCTTCTTTATTTCTCTATAAATTAACAAAGTATTTGCCACTTTCTTTCTCTAGTCCTTTGCACAGCTAATCAGTAGTTTTGAATCTGTTATGTATCAATACCTGAGAGCTATTTATTGTTTATGGAAACCATATGAAGAGGTTGGTAAAAATCACAGTGGTCAGTTTGTTAAATTCATGAAAAGAACCAGTTACATCTTTTTGGCCAAGTTTCATAGTTTAGTGATATGATAATATTTTGGTACTGGAGTTTCTAAGAGGTATCCTATACCTGTTTTCATATAGTTTTTATTCATTGACCTCTCTGAAGGAGGCATTTTTAGGACCCCCATTTTACAAATATGGAAACAATGGCTCAGAGAAATCACCAGCTTGTTCATGGTGGGGCCAAGCTAGGAGAATCTGACTCCGTGTCTCATGATCACGTTGTTCCTATTAAACACACTCTGAAAGAGTAAAGAGTTCCATTGTCTCGGGGAGAAATATTAAATCTGTGTGGGTTAAGAATGGATATTTCAAACAGCTGTTGTGGGGTTTTTTTTGTTTTTGTTTTTGTTTTGCAAAACTGGTCGAGATGATTTTTAAAGGTTTTGGCCACCTGTGGTGGTGGAAGGATGAGATTTAAGGCAGACATGTTTTCTTTTAGGAAGCAATGACTTCAACACGTTTTGTGTTGCACATCTGTATAACCACAGAGCATTTCAGAGGGTCAGGTTTTCAGAACTGTTGGCAAGAACTGTGCTTCATATTTCCCAGACAACACACACTGCTGTGAAAGGAAGAAATATTTGGTTTTTCTCCAACCTCGGGGCTGTTAAGAAGCAAGAAGCCATATCTCCAAGGCAGCAGCAGTCCTTATTAAAAAGAGTGGGACCCTTCCTCAGTACAAATGAGAAAGTTGAAAAATGCCCCTGCCCTAGCTCACAAAGCTGCCTTGCCCCCTGGTCATTCTGGGGCATTGTTGCCCGGAGAAGACACAGGCTCCAAACAAAAGATGGCATTACAGGTACAGAGGCATACCCTATACTCAGGATTTGTCCTGGGAACACAGATCGGGCTGAGCAGGGTCAGAGGGGACCACATTTCCCACCACAGCAAAGCAGCACCTTCCTATTACTGCTCAATGTACATGTGCTGGAATGAGCCATTTCACACCTTCCCCTCGGTTTGTCAAGACATTAAAAAGAAAAATGCTAATGTGACTGGAGGTAATTTTCTGAAGCCTATGAAGAAAGTAGATGTCAGTAACTGGCTATCAGGTTGTTATTTACGGACTGTTTGTTGCCACTACGGTAGTGGCACTTAATAAGGAGCTCAAAGTGGCTCAGGAACCAGGCCCAGCACTGCATAGAAAGCAACATCCTGCAATTTATCAGCAAATGTGTGGGAGTTGAACCTTGAATCATTTGCTTCATGGATTTTTTTTTCTTTCCCTGGAAACAGGAAATAGAATCTGTTTTCTCCCTACACCTCAGGCAATGGGGCTCATACAGGAAGTCCCTTTCCTTTCCTTGTCTGGAAAACAAAGATGCATACACGTTCTCCAGCACTGCAAACACAGCTTTGCTTTCAGCAGCAGCTAGGTCCCTGGATCACCTGCCCCTCCCCTGGGCTGGTCTCATCTTGGGGTTCACTCCATCTTTTCACACAGGCTTCTTTGTAAGTGTGAGAAAGAATCCATAGAGCCTTAAACTAAATCCCCACAGAAATCAGGGGAATTGGTGTGCATTTGCAAACAAACCTGTGCCTATCACAAACCAACCCAGGAAGATGGTGACTCATAAAGATTCTTGCCAGCAATGCTGCCAGCTTCATACAGCTTCAGTTAGTAACTTTGACATCCCAAAATGTCTTAAACCCGGTGGAAGGACTGGGCTGGGTGACTCCCTACAATGATTCCCTGAACCACTGTTCCTGCCCAGAACCCCTCTGACTCACAGCCTCAGCAGAGGGTAGAAGCTTTGGGTACCCACAAGCAATCAGGGCATTTGTGACACTGTTGTTGCCCCTTCACCACCTCTTTTTGCATCTGAGGAGAGCTCAGAGGCCAGGAGAAAAGCCACCAGTTGTCTCAGGAAGTGTCCAGCCTAGTTTTCAGTTTTCCCTTTGAGTGTTTTTGCTAAAATAACATCTTAGAAGTGTGTTAAGATGGCGGCCCTCCTGCTGCAGCAAGGATGAGCCGGGTCTCTGAAGACTATGCTCCTAGAGCGACAAGTGTTTCAAGGACTTGCTCCTGCAGTTTTTCTCTCCACAGAATCAGGAAAAAGTGACAACGGACTGCCACCAAATCCCAAGAAGCAGAGGTCACCAAAAAAGCCCGCACAAGCTACTGCACCTGCCCAGCAGCTTGACACCAGCACCTACAAGAACCTCCAGCATCATGCATGACTACACTTGGTACACCTTCCTAGACCTAAACCTGAAACTCTCGAAGTTTAGGTTGCCTCTGCCCTCTTCCGGACGACGGTCACCTCGCCACCTAGAGCTCAGCTTAAAGGTTAGCCTGAAGTTGTTTGCTGCATCCTTGCCTGTGAAAATAGTCCACTCAAGTAAAAAAAATGAAGTGTGTTAAGAACTCCACCATCATAGCTACAGTTGACAGGAGCATGAATACTGTTTTAAAATAAGAAAGCCCCGTTGGGGATCTGTATTGATGTCCTCCCTGGCAACGTGATTCCCAGCAGTTCCATTATAGAAATCATCTCATCTCTTTTCTATGTTCCCCAGGCCCTTCCTCCCTTTATGAGTCTTATTTTCTTGGGGAGTAATCTGCAAACACCTCAGTTAAGTTTTCAGGGTGCTTTAGATTTAGTTTTAGTTGTGTTTTTTGGTGTGTTTTTTTAAAGTAAGCCTTTTAATTGAGCATAACAATCCTATAGAAAAGTATACATACCCTGAGGGTTCTGCTCAAAGAATGTTCACCAAGTGAAGCAAGCACCCAGATGAGGAAACAAAACATCACCAGGAGCCCCCTTTGGGCCCCTTCCAGTCACCACACTCCCAAAAGGGTAACCCTCTACTGAGCTGTCACTGTAAATTGATTTTGCTTGTGTTTGAACTTTATTTAAATGGACTCATGCAACAGTACATCTTTGAGATTCATCCATGTCGTTGAATGTAGAATTACTGGAAAGCACTCAAATTTGTGGTTTGCTCTGAAAGAAGACTCAAAAATGACAAGTAAAAGAGAATTACTTTACAAAGGAATTTAAAAACCAACTTGAGTGTGTTGTGGATGGGAGATCTTAGAGACTTTGACCTTCCAAGTTGAGCTGAGCTAGAGGTGGAGGTGAAGTGAGACCCAGCCAGCTCCCTGTTCTACTCTGAGATGTGCTCCCAGGACAGTCCTGGCTTCTGCTCTCTTTTAATCCCTGACATGATGATTAAAGTTATGACAAATCGCATATCACTTGTTTGCTTAAGTGAGTTTACATACCAAGCTATGTACATTTTATTGAAAAAGTGCTTACCTGAGATTTGGGTTCAGAGTAAAGTGGATCAATTTAGAATCTAGTTCCAAGGGATGTAAGGTCAGAACCAACCAAGCAATGAATCAAACAACAAGCTAAAAGTGCCTCTGTGCTTTCCCCTCACTCACCTCTGTCCGCAGGCTCTGATCTAATTCCTTCATTTTTTTTCCTTTTAAATTGGATTACTGTATTATAGAATTGAAAATGCAAACAATGACTTCATATAGCATTGTTTTATACACCACTAAGACGTAAAAATGCACAAGATGGAGAGTCTAATAGAAGACCCTCATATAAAGCCAAGACGCCAAATCATTCTCTGTGTAGAGTGAAGAGAAATAATTCTGCCATGCGCAAAGGTCAGTGAAAAAACATGCCTGCTTCCACCTAAGCACATGGGGTAGAAAGGAAAATTAAGCTCCCAGGAGGATGAATCTGATCAGTTAGTGGACTGAATTTACACTGGCGAGCACAGAATTTATTTTAAAGTAGCCTCTGTTTGGTAGTGCCCTAGGTTCTGACAGAAGTAAATGCAGATCTTTCTAAAAGAATTAAGACTTCCATCGAGGCAACTGTAAGTGTAAGATGTAATGAATTGTTATGATTCTTCCAATTTCAGAGATCTTAGTATGTGAATCCATGACATATGGTAATAACACCTACTTCTCAGACATGTGGTGGAGCTGAAAGTGGAAACACGTGCACTGCTTAACACACAATAAATTCAATAAATTGTAGTCACCACTGAGTGGTGTGCCTAACTTTTTTATATTTATGAATAAGTAACCTGGAGACCACCAGTAACCCTGGCTAAAGAGCAAAGTAAAAGTAATAAAAGTATTTTAAAAATAAAAGGAGAAGCCTGAAATGGCCAGGGAAGGCTTCATGGGCAAAAGAGATTTTGAGCCTGGTTATGAAAGATTGAACAAGTAAAGAGAGCCTATTCCAAGCTGTGGAAACAAGATAAGCAAAGGTGTTGAGATGAGTGTAAACAGGCATTGCATCCAAAGGAGTAGGCAGGAGCGAAGCCCGCGGAGATGAGACTAATGGGCACAGGTGTGAGACGGAATGCACTAGGGTGGGTAGGCAGAAGCCTGTGCAAAATGTTTGTAACCCCAGCAAAGTGGCAACAAACTAGCCCTTCTTCAGCAGGGGAATGAAGAAGCTAGATTATTCAGTCGCTACAGCAATAAAAGTGAATGAATTAGGTCTGCACGAGTTTCAGTAGTGTAATGTTGAAAGAAAAAATAAAGAGCAAAAGGATACACTAGGTTATCATTTATGTACATTTCAAAAACTCTCAAAACAACAGTAAATGTTTATGGATACTTGTAATACACAGTAAAAAGTACAAAATCAGACATAGAACTAAGGCACACTGCCTTCAGCACAATGGTGGCCTCAGCATGTGGGCATGAGTGGGTGGCTATGATCCCAGGAAGGGAGCTTCTGCTCTCTGTCATATTTTATTTAAAAGGGACGGATATCTGCAATTGGGTAGTAAAATACTAGCATATTTGTTTTTATTTTAGTGATGAGTACATAGGTGTCTGCTGTTATTTTCTATATGTTTGAAAGGTTTCATAATTTTCTTTAAAAATTAAACAATGAAAAACTGTGAAGAAATATATCAAAATGTTCATGGAAATGTATTACAATGTTCATGCCGCTTGTGCCAGCCTGGAGCGTTGTGTGACGCTTTTCTCCCCTTGATTTTCCAAGTTTTGTGACTATAGTACATTTATAATGAAAAAATTACAGATGATCATTTGAATTTCTTTAAAAAGGATATAAAAAAGAAAAATGAATATCAAGCTATGGCATAGTTCTTGAGATCTTTCTTCCTCTTTGTATCAACCTCTTAGCAAACAGGGACTCCTTTGTAAGGTATGGTTAATAACGGCCTCTGGGGAGGCTATTAGCAAGCTCTCTATGAGAGGGCTCCTGTAGTACAAAGAGCACAGTGTTGCTAATTGTGACACCAATATTTCCACAGGACTGAATGGATGGGATCTTTCTGAATGTGTTATTTGTGGCACCAAATGAAAAAAGAGCTTGCTCACCAGCCAGACTCTAGGCTGGAAAGGGACAGACAGATTTGTATTCAGGTTCTTATCGCCCAATTTAAAACAGCATCTTCATAGTAACCAAAATTCATTCAGCAGTAATTTTGCTGAGTTAGGCCCTGGGCTTACAGAAGCGGGCACATCGATTGGCCCAGTCCTCTGGGCCCAGCCCCAGTCCTGCTGGGGTCACTATATCCTTTGAAACATAAAGTTCCTCAAACCTCCAGTTCACAAACGTTGGGGAAAGCAGCATCCTTCCTATATTTGCAGGGCAGTAGAAGGGGTTTTAAGGTTCTCCCCAGTTACTCCTAGCTTCTTGTACTGGAATCCTCTCCAGAAATTACTGATCTTCTCACTGTATTGTTCCTCCTGAATTGCAGTGCCCCCACTGTGGAGGTGGGGGGTACCTCTCTCTCAGGGTCTGAGGAAATGTTTGTGCCAGGGCTTGGTAGAGGTGGCTATGTGACAGTACCACCAAGCTTCCTAAAAATAGACATATACCCCTGATAGTTACAGTCCTTGTTATTAAAAGCCCCTCTGTTCACCCTTGATATCTGGAACTTCCCACTGGCCCTTCCTTCAACTAGAACCCTAACTACCATTTTATTTCTTCACTCCTATCTACCTACCTTCCCCTCCCTTCCTCCAGTCTAGGGTCTCCTGGCCTTTCGTTCTTGGGTTACCCTGTGGAAATTTATTAAACAGAACAATTTTTTTCTTATAGTTTTACTGCCATCCCTCTTGGCTTTGCCTCAATGGCTATTTTTTCCCCCACAACAAAATGGTACCCCAGAGAGTACCATGAAAAAAGAATTCTCCACACTAAGTGAAATTCTGCCTGCAGAAGTTAAATTGTCACCACCCCTTTTCCACAGTCCTGCCACTGGCCTCAACCCTTGAAAACATAGTTTGGGAATCAGGACATATCCAGAAAAAAAATTGAACCATATTTTGCTAAGTGTCAAATAAATTATGAAAGCAGTAAGTTCTGTAGGTATTGGTATGGCAAGGGGAAGAAAACTAAGGCATTATATGACCTAGTAAGAGATTATTTAAATTATTGAAATGATGGAAACTGAAGCTGAATTTTCAATAACAACATCCCTGAAACTGGTTTTTTGGATGTCAGGCTGACTTCACATGCTGGGGGCAGTTCTCTCTTGTATAAAAGGTGCAGTGGGCCCAGACTGATCAGCTGGGGGAGAGGGAGTGGTGGGAGGGTCTCAAGTCTGCTCCAGTGTAATTGCCAAGGACAGAGGGAGGGCTGTGTTTTCATGCCTGAAGATGGGAGTAAAAGAAAATTCTAATGAGGAAATACCTTGGAGTCCTAGTCCAGGTGATCAGGGAGCTAATTTCTGAAAGTGGGGCTATAACAAGAGCCACCTGTGCCATAAGTGGCCTCCTATGTTAAGAAAAAGTTGAAAAACCAGAACTGAAAGAAGCAGAGAACTTTTGACAATGGCAATGCAGCCTATTTTGGAAGCTGAGTGGCATCACATGGACCAACTGTGAGCAAATATTGCCTAGCACAATGCTTGGTTGATAGCAATTACTTAAAGTTGGCTGAGCGGAAAAAGGATAACCAAACTCGGGAATCTATGGAATCAATCATGATATAACTGATTGCAGTTCTGAGCTCACGATTTCCTTGGGCTTCACCCATGGCTGAGATGACACATGGCCACCACATGAACCAAGAGGCATCATCTTGGGCTGCATCTCGGACTCCCTATTACCATTTCCTTGGCATCAGGGTGAGAGGGGGCTGTGGCTTTGGTTGCAAACAAGTGAACTCAAAGCTAGTGAGAGCAAGAGGACGCGAGCACACTCATTCCACTGAGGGTGGGGTGGAACGGGGCTGGAGCGTCTTTGCTTCTGCTCTCTCTTTGTGCATTGGTCTTATTATGAGAAGGAACAAGTTATTCTTCAATGCTTCCCTTCACCCCTAGATTCAGGCCAAC